TATTTATTGTGCCATCGTCACAATGCCGGGCTGCAATTTTTAACCATATTTTTAATTTATTTAATTTAAAATATATGCCCTGGACTCAAATTAGTGGTTGCTTGCCCCTGTACGTCATACTTTTCTTTTAACAACAGAGTAATTCCCGTCATCTATCGAATACCTTTGAAAAAAAATTGTGACATGAAATGGCATATCTTCTGATTTTCAAAAAAAAAATTCATATATAGTTATTGCTGGCATTTTATATCTGTTAATGGAGAAAACGAGCTAAAAGGAAGAGAATCGTAACTGGTAACACCAGGGGCGGATGCAATAGGTGCGAGGCCCGTATGAATTTTTTTGCTGGGCCCCTCAAACTCTGAATGACAAAATTAATTAACAGTTAATTTACATATTGAAATGTAGATTTTAAATATTTACTTAAACAGAATCGAAATTATAATTATGAAAATCAAAAGTCATAAAGCATAAGGTAGATTTCTACTTTAAAAAACCTATATCAAAAATAAAAATAACTAATTTTTATTGAATATCAACATAAATAGATAAGTTTTAGTATTTTTATATTTTTAAATGAATATAACTATATAAATTTCTGCGATGAAAAATCTTTTAATATGTTCATGAATGAATATAATTGAATTTTACTGAATATAAAGTTATAAAGAAATGTTTTATATGTTCCAAAGTTTTTGTTATGTAAAATGTTATAAAATAGTATTAAAATCTAATGTGCTTGCTTCTTGACTCTCAAGCAACATGATCGACACGAACTTTTTAAGAAAAAATTTGTTGTTATAATTTTATTAATATAAATAATATACTTAGATATTTAATTTTGTAATATGTACTATTTTTAAATATATAAATTTTGATGTGCTGTGGGGCCCTTTCAAGCGCAGGGCCTAATTGGCGCACATCGCTCCAATCTCCTAAAATCCGGACCTCAGTAACACTTAATCAGTATGCAAGTTAACTGGTCAAGTTTTTCAAAATTAGTTCCTGTTCTGTTTATAAACGAGATAACTCGGGCAAAGTTTATTGTACAATACATTCTATTTAATGTTGTTTGTGACATCAGAAGATATTGAAATTATACACCCAATGAAAGTTTAAATTTTGGAAGATTTTTGCGGTCCCCGCCTATTAAAAAAGTATACATAATCGAAAATTTTGTGATGTATTTGAATGTTTACGGTATCTGATGCAAATCCGTTCAGAAACTCTTTCTCCCCTGCGATTTGTATGAGAATATCCCGTGAATCTCTATTAACAGATGTTCTCAAGGACATTACGCTAAGTACACCGAACTGCGGCGGGTATCATGTGATCCGTCGCGAATTTTTGTTATGTGAAAGAGAATTCGTTTCTAAATAACATGTAATAAAGGAAATTAAGTTATATGTTAAAATGTTTGAGAAATCTATTTCATAATTTGGTGTATTAAAAGTTTTTTTAATTTTTTTGTAGGAGGTTTTCCTGTAAAGCACAAAAAACAATGTTAGGTTAATGAGGTTACGTTTATTATACAGTGGTACCTCAGGATACGAAAATTAATCTGTTCCGAAACTGAGATCGTATCATGGAAATGTCGTAAGGTGAGTGATTTTTCCCTATACGATTACATGTAAAACCAAATAATTTGTTCCAACACAAAAAACACACTCAAATTAAAGCTAAGTAGTACATTTAAAAAAATAACTATAGTAAGGAAAACACTGAAAAAT